AACTGCTTCCAGATGGCCGGCTCTGACATCTGCTGAGGAGTTCTGAAGGAGATTCAGATCAGTCGTTGAAATTAAATCTCTGAAACAACATTTAAAAGTCAAACTTTTCAGGCAGTTTTCATAGGATATTTTTAGTGCTTATTTTTTATACTTACAAAATGTCCACGTGCTGTTTTGGAAAAAAGCAAATAATATAAATCGTCAAGAATCAGCTATATTCCCACAACTCTAAGTTGATTATTGTCATATTCATGTTTTCCTCTCCCTCTTTTACTTTTCATATATTTTGAGAAGAACTTATAGGTCGTATCCATTTTTTTTTTTCGGTGTATTCAACCATTTAGTGAGCATTTTGAATTTCTTTCTTGGCATAGAGTCCTTAGAGGGAAATTAATAGGTCAAAAGACGTATCTGTTCTTAAGGTCCTTAGTACATTTTGACAAAATCTTCATTTTGTCCTTATAGGTACTGACTTGTTTTTGTTGTTTTCATGTTTCATAAAAAGAGACATATCTCATTTTAATTTGGCTTTTGGAGCATTAATAAAAATGTACGTTTTCTCATTGCACTGTGTTTTTAATTATTTGGCCAGGTCTTTTATCATAGTTTGGTAAGGTAAGTATTAATCACACATTTATTAATGAGAGAGCTGAAGTTCAAAAACATACTACAAGTAAATGGAATTTGAACTCAAACTTGTGCTACCTTCTAACACCCAAATACATGGTTCTTTCCACTGCGGCAAGTATTAAATGTCAAAAGCCATTAAAGTAGATAGCAGTGTGGGTGCCTGGGTGGCTCAGTCATTTGAATGTCTGGCTCTTAATTTCTGCTCAGGTCATGATCCCAGGGTCATGGGATCAAGCAACACATCAGGCTGTGCGCTGAGCGTGGAGCCTCCTGAATATTGTCTCTCTCCCTTTCTCCCTCTGCACCTCCCCCACTCATGTATATGCTCACGCTCTCTCTCTCTCTCTCTCATTCTCTCTCTCTCTCTCTCTCTCAAATAAAAAAGATAGAGGGGCACCTGGTGTCTCAGTCAGTTAAGTGTCCAACTTTGGCTCAGGTCATGATCTCACAGTTTGTGAGATCAAGTCCCACATCGGGCTCTGTGCTGACAGCTCAGAGCTGGAGCCTGCTTTTGGATCCTGTGTCTCCCTCTCTCTCTGTTCTTCCCCCACTCATGCTTTGTCCCTCTCTCTCCTTCAAAAATAAATAAACATTTAAAAAAAGTTTTTAAAGATAGCAATGTAACATCACTTGAATTTATAAGAATATGTAGTGAGTATGTCTTAATAACAAGTATTAATTTCCACTCACAGTGTATCATAGAGATTACCATGATCTAATCAAAAGCATGAGGAGTAACCCTGTAAAGGGCCAGTTTCACCCATTTATAAAGGGTTTTATGACATTTTAAAAAATTCTTCACACTTTGGTAGACTACAGTAGGTTTTAGATTTTAAAAATATATAATGTGTTATCATTTTTTCCACCATAGCTTTGATTAATACAGTAAGAACGCAAGAACAAATTTTTACCTCTTTCCACGGAGATACTATCTCTATGGAACTACTGTCGAACATTGTAGGAATAAGATGAAAATTATAGAAAAACCCAAAAAAGAAACTTTTTGGACACTTGTGTCACTTATCAATCTCCACTGATCATGTAGAGCCAGTTTTGCTGCAGGTTGACTTGGCTGTACCTCGAGTGGGAAGGGGAAGCTCCTTAAAAGTATAGCAAAGCAGTGGCTGAAAGTGGCAAAGCCAGTTTTCATTGCAGTGAACTGTAGTAACTTTGAAGTTGATATTATTAGTTTTAACTTACATTTATAGTTTTCAGGAAATTTGGGACCAAATAGGATTCATTCATGGGATTGATGTTTTATGTTCCTATTCAGTGGTAGAGTATGAACTTCTATAAGGACTAGGCCTGGTGTTTTACTTTTAAAAGTCCCCTTTCTGTTTATACCTTGCCTTCCAAAGAAGAAATTTTTTGAAGCTATGACAAAATGATTTTTCATTTTTGATATATAAATATTTATATTTTTTAGTATTTTTTTATTTTTGAGAAAGAGAGTGTGTGCAAGCACAAGTGGGGGAGGGGCAGAGAGAGAGGGAGACACAGAATCCAAAGCAAGCTCCAGGCTCTGAGCTGTCAGCACACAGCGTAATGTGCGACTCAAACTCATGGACTCCGAGATGATGACCTGAGCCAAAGTTGGATACTTTGCCAACTGAGCCACCCATGTGTCCCATAAATATTTGTGTTTTTTTTTTTTTCAAGAGGACAAAGAGAAGGTGGTGTCCCTTCCTTTTTCTGTTTTCTTTTAATGTTTGTTTATTTTTGAGAGAGAGAGACAGAGACAGAAGCAGGCCCCAGGCTCTGAGCTGTCAGCACAGAGCCTGACACGGGGCTCGAACTCACAAATGGTGAGATCATGACCTGAGCCAGAGTCGGACGCCTAACCAACTGAGCCACCCCAGGCGCCCGAATATTTGTTTGTATTTTTAATGTGAGAGTGGTATTTAAAAAACTGACTCCCTTTCTTTTCTTTTTTTTTTTTAACGTGTTCTAGTTATGCCTTTGTAGAAGACAAATTAGATGGTAATTGAAAATAGAGCATTTAAGAAATTTAAGAGAGCTACCCATTGTCCAGTCTGTGTCCCTTCAAGTGTCTTCATGTCTTTTGGGGGATAGTCAGTCTTGGAACTCGCTTTTATAATTCATTTACCTAAGGGATAATCTAAGACTAGAAAACTGATTTATACTAACTATGTAAAACTAAAACTGTAGTGGTTAACTGGAATGGCAATTGTAGCTTGGTGGTATGGGATGTATTGCTCATCTCAGTGACCTGAATGTTCTCTTCTCTGTTCTGTGTGGCTTCCTGTCTGTCACTCACGTGCCTCAGAACTTGAGTAAGCCATTAGAAGTTGCTTAGTGAACAAGATCAGGGTGAAGGGTACTGCACAGCCCAAGAGGGTATTTATCCCAATTTGAACAGAATATAAAAATCTTTCCACCTTTCAGTGAAACTTTTATTCTCCCAGTAGCAGCAAATTTACAAACCATGTTTTAAGCTGTGTTACTTCCACAGCTTAGCTGATACTCATATAATGCATCCCAATCATAGTTAACATCAATTTTAGGAAGTACTATTTTTACATTTTGTCATAAGGTCCAGAATCCCCTTTTGTGAAATCCTCTCTATATCCCTTTCCTTTTCCCTTTTTTTTTGAATCACAATGAGTTACTGCCACCAAAAAAAAAAAAAAAAAAAAAAAAAATTTATGAATTTTTAGTAATTGGAAAAGTAGGGAATCATTTTTAACTTTTTATTACAGAAAATTTTAAATGTGTATAAACGTAAACTAAAGTGCACTGAACCTCATGTATCCATAACTTCTGTAGTACTTATCTGTTTCATCTAAAGCTCTACTTCATCCTCTTCCCATGTGACTTTGAAGTAAATTCAGATAACCTACCGTTTCATTCATGACTATTTCAGTATAGGAATCCCTAAAAGATTTTTTTTTAAACCCACAGAACTATAATACACATTCACATTAAAAATCTTAAGGAGGTGCTTGAGCAGCTCAGTCAGTTAAACGTCTGACTCTTAATTTCAGCTCAGGTCATGATCTCATGGTTCGTGAGTTCAAGCCCCACATAGAGCCTGCTTGAGATTCTCCCTCTTTGTCCCTCCCCCACTTGCTCTCTCTCTCTCTCTCTCTCTCTCACATACACATACACACACACACACACACACATACATACACACACAGACACACACACACACACACTCTCTCTCAAAGTAAATAAAGTTAATTTTAATAGATACCTTCTTAATTATATCAAATATCTAGTTGGTAATTGTAATTCTAACTACTCTACAAATATTGCTTATGTTTTTACACATTTGTCTTTCTGAATGTCCCATAGTCTGGATTTTACTGATTGTCTCATCATGGTGTTTACACATCTCCCTATAGTCTTTATAATTCAGTATTTGGATCTAACATATTTTTAATGCAAAAACTTGTTAAAACTAGATTAAGAAATTATACTCTCTAAGGAAAGTTTGTTTAAATGATTGAAAAAGACTGGTAACTCATAAGGCTTTATATATAAATTAAGATTAAAAACATATTGTAACAAATCCCATATTAGTTTGAGTCTCAAAAGTTAACTTGAGAATTGCAGCAATAACTGAATGGTTTTATACCAACAGCCTCTATTTTTGTCAGTATTTATGTTAGAATATGTTAGAATTATATTTTACTATTTCCTTTATTCTTAGTTCATATTTTAAGCAATAAAACATTTTTTTCTGAGTCTTATTATTATCAAACAGCATGTTCCCTTGTTTAAAATATAACTTATTGAGATCCATATAAATTACTTTTTCATTTTTTAAAAGTTAGTGAGTTATTTTTCTTCTTTTTTAAATAATTATTTGAACAAAGAAAAGGTCATATTTAGAATAAATTGTGAAAGAGTAAGAGCAATGAAATTAGGAATGGTTTTTTCTAGGCTTTAAAAAAAATCAGTATAACTGTCATAAACATAAAGAGATTTGTTTTTTATCCAAAAAGTCATTGTTTCTGACTCATAGAGAATAGAAGTAGATTTTACTTTACCCCTAACCAATTTGGGGAAAAAAAAATTTTTTTTTTTTTTAATGTTTTATTTATTTCTAGGAGAGAGACAGCATGAGCAGGGGAGGGTCAGAGAGAGAGTGTGTTACAGACTCTGAAATAGGCTCCAGGCTCTGAGCTGGCAGTCAGCACAGAGCCCGACGCGGGGCTCGAACCCACTAACCGTGAGATCATGACCTAAGCGAAAGTCGGACGCTTAACCAACTAAGCCACCCAGGCGCCCCGGGAAAAAAATTTTTTAATAAATTTATAGGATCGTTTCATTCAAAGAATCTTTACAGCCATCTCCATCTCACTGTGCTGTGTTTTTGTCTTTGTTCAATTCTCCCCCCATAGCTCATCAGTAGGTTACTTGCAACATCCAGGATCAGAACAAGTACAGTTTCCTCGAACTACTTCACCATGCAATTCCCAGCAGCTTCAAAGCCACCAGTGTGCAGGTATGACTATAATTTAAAAAGAAAGCTAATGATTTGTCCATTTGAGAAATAATTAAGTTCCTGAGGCATTTCTAGAATAGGATTTTCAACTCTGTGCTGAGATACACCCAAGGATGCCATGCAAACTCAGAGTTAATGGTTTTCATCCACTTCTTCCTTTTTTGTGTTACTAATACAACACTGCTGTCCTGTTTCCTTTCTTCAGATTCTCCTTCCTTCCCCACCTCATACATATTAGTGTTCTCTGGAATCATCTCCTTACTCTTCTGCTCTTCCTAGGTAATCCACCCACCTCCTAGGCCTCAACAACTGCTTTTTTGCCAGCAACTCCATCGTCTTATTTTGGCTGAGAAGAGAGCCATGTAGCCAGCTGTCTACTGGACACCCCTACCCCGTTGTATCAAAGGCACTTTAGATTTACTAGTTCTCCCTCCTTCTGCATCCCTTACCCACCTTCTGTCTAGGGACCAGAACAGTTTTCAGAGTCATAATCAAGTCTCTCTACTCCCTCTTTTCACATTCATGCCGTTACCATTTCCTTAAGTCTCATACCTTCTTTCCTTCCTCCCCACTGCTGCCATTCTCCACCAGTTCTTTTCACATCGTATTTGCTGCAATCTCTTAAGTGTTTTGTTGATTTCTTGTTTGCTCCACAGCCAACTTATCTCCTCCCCAAAACATAAACATGCACACATGCACATGTGCACACACACTGTTCAAGAAATATTTTCCTGAAACAAAAAGTCTCTTTTTATGTCATTCCCCTGAATCAGAAATGTACATGGATGGATTCTCCATCTAAACTCCCTAGCAAATAAGCTTCCTATTTATATTTACATGTTCAGGTCACACAAAACTGTGCTTCCAAAATGTACCATGCTTTTTCATGCCAAGGATATTTTTCTATCAGTTCCTCCCTCTGCTTGGAATGCCGCTCTTCCATCTTTTTGCCAAAAATCTTGCTTATCCTTAAAGTTTGAGTCAAAAATCACCTCTTCTATAAAGTCTTCCCTAGTACTCAAAACAAAATTTGTTACTTCTTTTCTCTGCTTCTATAGTGTCTTAAACAATCCTTTGTCATGACACCATCTTTTATTATAATGATTTTTTGACAGACGTAATCTCTGAGAAACAGAGAAACCATAAATGATTATCAGATAAATAATGGTGTGCATCCCCGAGATGCGCTGCTGTGGTTGAGGAGATCTTCGGGGTATGCCTAAGCGTCAGCCCTCTCTGGTTTGCCTAGCCAGTCAGGTTGGCTCACTTTCCAGGGAACTGGAAACGACCATTTTGGTTACTATAATGCAAGCTGTGGCCCTAGGAACATAAGAATCCTGCCTTACCTTATACTGAAGGGGTGTTTGCCTAATACTACCACTGCTGCAGACTGGTACACAAGAGGAGTAAGTCAGACAAGGAGGTATACAATAGTCTACTTACTACTATATAATTAACAGTGTTTATACATACATGTGGCCACAGCTTTTTAAAGTTAGCCAAGGAGGTCTTCCTAGCTGCCTTTTTCAGGTAAGAACATACTGTAAAAGAGTTAACTAATTTCCCCAGAGTCAGGACATTTCAGAGTATGAAAATTGGGCTTTCTGATTCCCACATGCCAAACTTTTTTTTCCTCTGTGTATTTAAAATAATGCCAGTTTTAAAATTAATCCATTTTAGCAATCATTTACTTTTATACATAATGTCTCAATTATGCTACCCTCTCTTAGGTCCTGTAGTAGGTATTTGGACTTTCCTGAGTAACTGTGGGCTTGTTATTTTAGAAAACTGAGATGTTTAGGCCTACAGAGTCCCATTTTAATGTCTTTTTAAACACACACGTTTATGGCATGAAGTTCTGGGGCTTAAATATGACTTGTATATATGATAATAAAGCTTTTCTCAGAGATGTAAAATGATTGCCATTTTCTTAGTGTTTAAAGCTACCAGCTAGTTGGCACAATATACTTACTGCAGTGTCCCAACTCTGATTTCCAGCTGTGCCACCTCCGCCCCCTGGTGGAGGAATGGTGATGATGCAGCTCAATGTACCAAACAATCCGCAGTCTCGGGCCCACTCACCCCCACAGTGGAAACAAAACAAATATTACTGTGATCACCAGAGAGGGCAGAAGTGTGTGGAATTTAGCAATGTAGACAATATTGTTCAGGTAAGATGCTTCTTTTGTTTATTGTAATTTTAAAACTTCCGGTGTTTGGGGCATCTAGTGACTCAGTCGTTTAAGTATCTGACTCTTGGTTTCGGCTCAGGTCATGGTCTCGGCTCAGGCCATGGTCTCGGCTCAGGTCATGGTCTCAAGGTTTATGGATTCAAGCCTCACGTCGGGCTCTGCACTCCTTGGATTCTCTCTCTCTACCCATTCTCTGCTCACTTGCCTGTGTGCACACAGACTCTCTCAAATAAACTTTTTGTTAATGTTTTATTTATTTTACATTTGTATTTATTTCTGAGAGATAGAGACAGCTTGAGAAGGGGAGGGTCACAGAGAGAGGGAGATACAGAATCTGAAGCAGGCTCCAGGCTCTGAGCTGTCAGCACAGAGCCCGATGTGGGGCTCAAACCCACTGACTGAGATCATGACATGAGCCAAAGTCGGTCGCTTAACCGACTGAGCCACCCAGGCGCCCCTCAAACTTTAAAAACAAAAAAACAAAAAACAACAACTCAGGGGCACCTGGGTGGCTCAATCAGTTGAATATCAGACTTTAACTCAGGTCATGATCTCATGGTTCCTGAGTCTGAACCCCCCATTAGGGCTCTCTACTGTCAGCAAAGAGCCTGCTTTGGATCCTCTGTCCTCCTCTGTCTCTGCCCCTCCCCTATTTGTGCTCTTTCAAAAATAAGTAAACATTTACAAAACATGAAGAAAATAAAAATCTTTCAGCAATTTAGTCCCAAAAGATTGACCTTACAAGGCTTGACTTTGAATTTGAAATCTTCTCAGGTTAGTAAAGAAATTTGAACATTCTCTATATCCCCACTGTTACTTTCAATATGGAAATATTATTTTTCAACCTTTGTGTTTGTAAAATGTTTTAGTTTAAAAAATCATAAGATATACTAGATCTAAAATTTGGTAAAGAAAAATAATTCATTTTCCTACCTTGTCCATTTGAACTATTAGTGTAACCAGAAGATTGATGCAGAACACTCTTTATTATAGAAGAAATTCAGTTAATAAATGTAAAAGCAATAGTAGAATTTAAAACTCACCATTTTGAAATCTCACTGAAATAATGCATCATAAAGCAAATCATCAGCACATGTCAAGAACATTATGAAAAGGTTTATGGGGGAATTTAAAATGGATAGATTAGGGCCATCTGGGTGGCTCAGCAGGTTAAGCATCTGGCTCTTGATTTCTGCTCAGATCATGATCTTACTGTTTCTGAGATGGAGCCCCTGGTTGGTATCTATGCTGACAGGACAGATTCTCTCTCTCTCTCTCTCTCTCTCTCTCTGCTCCTCCCCCATGTGCACACACCCTCTCTCGCGTGTCTCTCTCTCTCAGTCTGTGGGATTCTATCTCCCTCTCTGTCTGCTGCTCCCCATGTGTATTCTCTCTCTCTCTCTGTCTCTAAGTAAACATTAAAAAAAATTTTAAGATGAAGTGAAATATTTCAAGGTACATGATTAAATCATAGCAGAATAAGACAGGCAAAGGTCATTTGTAGGCTAGCTCACAAACTGTAAATGCCCAGTGGCCATTAATCAAATGAAAATACAAAAATATTTTTATTTATGTATTCAGGAAAATTTAGAAAGACTCATAATATTCAGTGTGGGCAGAGATAACCAGTTATAAACTCTACTGTTCATTCTCAGTGGAACTACAAACTCATAGAACTCTTTGAAGTATAATTTAGTGACAAAAATAACCCAATTAAACTGAGGGCTGATGGGGGTGGGGGAGAAGATAAGTGGGGTGATGAGCATGAAGGGAGGCACTTGTTGGGATGAGCACTGGGTATTCTATGGAAACGAACTTGGCAATAAACTATGGAAAAAAAATTAAAAAATAAACAAAAATTGGGTGGAAGACTTTATATGGCATTTTTCCAAAGAAGACATACAGATAGCCAACAGACAGATCAAAAGATGCTCAACATCACTCGTCAAGGAAATGCAAATTAAAACCACAGTGAGATATCCTCTTACACCTGTCAGAATGGCTAAAATCACTCTCAAATGTTGGTGAGAATGTGAAGAAAAGGAATCCATGTGCATGCACTGTTGGTGCAATGCATACAGTGCAGCCACTGTGGAAAACAGTATGGACTTTCCTCAAAATATTAAAAAAAGAAATACCATGTGATCCAATAATTGTACTGGGTATTTATCCAAGGAAAATGAAGACACTAATTCAAAATATTTAAGTGGATAAGGAAAATGTGGTATATATAAACAATGGAATATTACCCATTAAAAAAGGTTGAAATCTTAGCATTTCCAACAACATGGATGGACCTAGAGGGTATTATGTATGCTAGGTGAAATAAGTCAGACAGAGAAAGACAAATACCATATGATTTGGCTCATATGTGGAATCAAAAAAACAAAACAAATGAATAAACAAAAAGCAGAATCAGACCTGTAAATACAAAGAACAACTGATGGTTGCCAGAGGGAAGGGAAATGGGCAAAACAGATGAAGGAGAGTGAGAGATACAGGCTTCCAGCTATGGAATGAACAAGTCACGGGATGAAAGGCACAGCGTAAGGAATATAGTCAGTTACATTGTAATAGCATCATATGGTAGCATGGTAGCTATACTTGTGGTGAGAATAGCATAACCTATAGAGAAGTTGCATCACAGTGTTGTACACCTCAAACTATCAGCTGTACTCAAATTGAAAATTTTTTTAATGTTGAACAAATCCATGAGTTATACTGATATAAATGAATAAATGGGAGGAAAAGTGACTTTTTTTTACAGTGAAATGTGAACTAGTAAATATAGAAGTAATGATGGAATTACAGGATCACCACCGGGAAACCAACAAGTGAGAATCATCACTGGAGGAGAGAGGGTTCTAGGACACTGGCACAGTAGAAGCACCAGGAGTCCATGTCTCCACCTAGAAATGATTACACTGGCAGAATCTGATATAATAGTTTTGTTGATCTAGAATCTTTTGAAGGCTTACAACTGCTAGGGAAAAGCTTGAGTGATAAGTTGAACTTAATTTCAGTCAGTTTCAGCTTTCAGCACAGTAGCAGCTACCCATCCTAACCCCCAACCCCAAACAGGCTGTTGTGCATGTTTTTACTGGAGCAGCTCACAGGAGCCAGGATAGGCAAAAAGGACCCTGTCCTCCACATACAAGGCATGTATGTTCTGATCATGGGTTTCTGCTTCCGATCACAGAGGTGCAGACAAAGAGGCAGTAACCATCATTGCAACTCCCCCCATTGCTGTGAATCTCTCCCTCCATCCCCCATCCCCAACACTTCTGGGGGACTTAAAGGGCTGGTACCCTGTTTTTCCTCCCTTCATTTTTCTCTTTGAATCCCTTTTGGGTGCCAAACAGTAAGGACTAGGACATTCAAAAGCAACTGAATATATAGGGCACATGCCCAGGAAAAGGCACAGGCCAAAGCCTGAGAAGTCCTTGAAGCTATAACTCAGGCTTATCTTTGACACAGAGACAGCTCGCAACAGTCAGTAAACAAAAACCGTAACAACAACAGAATATAACAAACCCCGGGAGGGGCGGAGAATCTGATTCCAGTTACCACATTATTAGATTCAAATGTCCAGTTTTCAACAAAGAGTCACAAGGCAAGCCGAGAAACAGGGCAATGTGGCTCATTCAGAGGAAGAAAATCAACATAGTCTTTGAAAAAGACCCGATGACAGATCTCCTGGAAAAAAAGCCTTAAAACAGCTGTCTTCAGGCTATCAAGAACTACAGGAAGATGTGGCAAAAGACAAGAAAATGGAAATATCAATAAAGAGATGGAAAACCTAGAAGAGGCCAGACATTCTAGAGCTCAAAATATAATAACTAAAATGAAAAGTTCCCTGGAGGAATTCACTGGCAGATGTGAACAGGCAGAAGAAAAAAATCCAAGAATTTGAAGATAGGACAGTGGAAATTATCAAGCCTGAGGAACAGACAAAACAGAATGAAGAAAAGTGAACAAAGCCTAAGAGACCTGTGAGACACCATCAAGTTGACCAACACGCTCACTGTGGTTGTCACAGAAGGAAGAGAATATTTGAATAAATAATGGTTGAAAACCTACCAAGTTTGATGAAAGTTGGCATACATGAATATAAACATCAAGCATTGTGATGAATTGTAGTTAAGAACTGCAAGATACCGGGGCGCCTGGGTGGCTTAGTCGGTTAAGGATCCGACTTTCGCTTAGGTCATGATCTCGCGGTTCGTGGGTTCAAGCCCCGCATCAGGCTCTGTGCTGACCGCCAGCTCAGAGCCTGGAGCCTGTTTCAGTCTGTGACTCCCTCTCTCTCTGACCCTCCCCTCCTCACGCTGTCTCTCTTTCTCTCTCTCCTAGAAATAAATAAAAATATTTAAAAAAAAAAAAACTGCAAGATACCTACTCTGAGACACAGTATAATCAGTCTTTCAAAGGATAAAGACTGTATTAAGGGGGTATGGCTCACGGGTAGAGCATTTGATTGCAAAGGATAAAGACAGTATTCAGAGCAGCAGGAAAGAAACAACTCGTCACATATAAGGAATCCTCAAAAAGGTTATCAACAGATTTCTCATCAGAAACGGGAGGCCAGAGGGGCGCCTGGGTGGCTTAGTCGGTTAAGCGTCCGACTTTCACTTAGGTCATGATCTCGTGGTTCGTGGGTTCAAGCCCCGCGTTGGGCTCTGTGCGGACTGCCAGCTCAGAGCCTGGAGCCTATTTCAGAGTCTGTATCTCCCTCTCTCTCTGACCCTCCCCTGCTCACGCCGTCTCTCTCTCTCTCTCTCTCTCTCTCTCTCTCCTAGAAATAAATAAAAATTAAAATTAAAAAAAAAAAAGAATCCTTGGTGATTCTCCTTTCAAAAAAAAAAAAAAGAAGAAGAAACGGGAGGCCAGAGACAGCAGGCTGATATATTCAAAGTGCTAAGAGGGAAAAAAATAAGTTAACTACAAATCCTGTATCTGGTAAAAACTGCCTTTCAAAAGTGAGGTAGAGGTGTCTGGGTAGCTCAGTCACTTATGCATCCAACTCAATTTCCACTCAGGTCATGATCTCACAGTTAGTGACACTGAGCCCCACATTAGACTCTGTGCTGACAGCATGTAGCCCGCTTGGGATTCTCTCCCTCTGTCTCTCTGCCCTTCCCCCCACTCATGCTTGCTCTCTCAGCTCTTTCTCAAAATAAATAAATACATTACAAAAACAAAATAAAAGTGAGGTAGAAATTAAAATTCCCAGGTAAACAAAACTGGAGGTGGGCCCTGCAAGAAATTCTCAAGAGTACTGCAGAGTGAAGTAGAAAGAATACTAGACAGTAAGACAAAACTATATAAAGAAAGTTCTCAACGTAAATACATAAGCAAATATAAAAGCTAGTAGCATTGTGCCAGTGATCCATATCTCTACTTTTTGCTTTCTATGTGATTAGAGAGACGAATGCACTTAAGTATTCTTTTATAAACATTATCTAAAAGGTAGTGTTCTAGCTTTGATTTGTAACTCCAAATTTTTTTTTCTAAATAATTTAAGAAACTAATGCACTTAAAAGAGTTACTAATGGGGCACCTGGGTGGCTCAGCCAGGTGAGCATATGACTTCAGCTCAGGTCATGATCTTACAGTCCATGAGTTCGAGTCCCGCATCGGGCTCTGTGCTGACAGCTCAGAGCCTGGAGCCTGCTTCAGATTCTGTGTCTCCCTCTCTCTGCCCCTGCCCCACTCCATCTCTCCCCCCCCCCAAAATAAATAAACTTTTTAAATAACTTTTAAAAAATTACTAGTTTATGTTTGGGGGCACACAGTATATAAAGATGTACTTTTATGTCATCAGCAACCAAAAGAGGTGGGAACAAAGATACAAAGAAGCAGCATTTTTGCATATAATTGAAGTTAGGCCAATATAAATTCAAAGTAGAATGTTATAACTTTAAGATGTTAGATGTAATGCCCAAGGTAAACACAAGGGGAAAAGCTAGGGAATACATACAAAAGGAAATGCGAAAGAAATTTAAACATTTACTACAAAAAGCTGAGTAAACAGAAAATGCAGGAAATGAGGGTGGGAGGAAGCTGTAAGAAAACAGCAAAATGACAAAGGCAAATCTCTCTTTATCAGTAGTTATTTTAACTATAAAGACAGAGACTGGCAGAATGGATAAAAACACCTGATCTAACTAAGAGATCTAAGAGACTCCCTTTAGATCCAAAGACACAAATGAATTGAAAGTGACAGATTGCAAAAAGATAGTCCATGAAAATAGCAACCAAAAGAGAGTAGGGGTAGTTGTTAATATTAGGTAAAATAAGACTAGACCCAAAAAATTTTCTAGACACAAAAGTTCAATACAGCAAGAAGATACAATAATTATAAACCTGATTGTATAATCTGATAATTAATTACCTGATAGCAGACCATCTAATAATTGCTGGAAACTTTAATATCCCACTCTCAATAATGGATACAACAACCAGGGAAGAGTTAAGTAAGGAAATGGAGAACTTAAACAGAACAAAGTAGCTAGATCCAACAGACATATAAAGAGAACTCCACCTGCACATCGGTTCACATGTGAATATTATACACATTGTTCTTGTGCATGTGGGACATATTCTTGGATAGACCAATATATATGTTAGGCCAAAGTTCAATCACAGTAGATTTTAAAAGGTAAATTTCAGCTAATACTGTATCTTCTCCAACCAACATTGTACTGGGAGTTCTACCTGGAGCAGTTAGGTGAGAAAAAGATACAAAAGGCATCCAAACTGGGAGAGGAAGTAGTAAAATTCTGTTTACAGATAATACAGTGTCTCCCTAATACTATAACTAGAAAGGAAAAAATAGTAATTTAACAATGAAGAGACCTGGCAGACACCACCTTAACCAAGTGATGGAAGTAAACATCACCCATACTGTGTTAACACATGGACCTCAGGCTCCCTCTTACGTGATGCATTGAGAAGGACACAGCATCACTTCCCTAGCACTCCTTCCCCAAATATATATTGTAAATTTGAGGATGAGGAAGCAGCGCAAAGCCAAATTGAGGGACATTCTACAAAATAACTGATCTTCAAAATGACCTTCAGAAACTGATCTTCAAAAATGTCAAAGTCATGAAAGAGAAGAAAGACTGAGGTTCTGTTCCTAATTTAAAAAGATGAAAGAGATGTGACAGCTAAATGTAACATTTGATTCTGGACTAGAAGAGAAAATGTTTTCTTTTTTCTTTATTCTTTTTTTTTTTTTTTTTGCTATAAAGTATATTAGTACAATTGGTGAAATTTGAATAAACTATAGATTACATAATATTACTGTCTTGTTAATTGCCTGATTTTGATAATTCCTTTTTTTTTTCCAAGAACTTTTCTTAGAAACCTCTTTATTACAAGTTTTTAAAACACTACTACATATATTACAGAGTAGGATCACTTTTATATAGATTTGATGATTCTACTGTGGCTATTTATGTAAGAATATGTCCCTGTTTTTAGGAAAAATACACTAAGGTTATTTTGGGATGGAGTATTGTGAACAACTCATTCTCAAACAGTTTGGAAAAGACTAACAATATATAGAGAGAGATAAAGATTTTAAAAATATGCAGAGAGATTTATATAAAAATATAGGAAATCCGAGAATTCTTTGTGTTATTTTTGGTAACTGTTCTTTAGGGATGAATTGTTCACAAAGAAAATGTTAAAGCAGTTGACATGAAAAAAAGAATGAGATAAGTGTGTGTTCTTCTTCTCATGGAAAAGTATCTTCAGTATGATTGTCCAGGTACAAAAGCAAGATTCAGAAATAGGATGTGTAGTCTGTTTCCGTTTTTATAAAACATAGACATATGGATGCATACGTATGGGTGTAGAAACATCTGTTACTGGTATTTGCCTTTAGGAGTTGAAAATTATAAAAAATAATTTTTTTAAAAGTTTATGTTTTAAGTTTTTTAATAACAAGTTCATATTTGTAATCAGAAAACATTTTGATCAAAACTTAATTTGCAAAAATATGACTAAAATGCTGATCGGTTTTTTTTTTTTTTTTTGATGTGATTACAGCACAGCCCTCAACTCAGTAGTCCCATTATTTCACCAGCTCAGTCGCCAGCACCAGCGCAGCTGACCACCCTGAAGACTGTCCGTGCTTCCGGACCACCCCTTTCCATCATACCTCAGTTTTCTAGACCTTTTGTTCCAGGGCAGGGTAAGTGCACAAAAACTAAGTCACAGCCTCAGATTTGGAGGACATCCTTGCCCCGGGTGACGTGTGGAATTGTCGGATCACTCTATTATACACCTGAAACTAATACAACATTGTATGTTAACTTTTCTGGAATTTACTTTTTTATATAATTAAAAATACAAGACCTCCCTTCCCAGTCACTTTGTGATATCCTGTGGTCCTGCTTTCAGTTCTCCACAGGACTGCCTTTTGGTCTCCACCCGGAGACCATATGGTCTTGTAACCTTAATGTTTCATCACTAGTTAATAATTCCTAGCTTAGTAATTACTTCCATTCAATAATTCATTATGTGATGGAGTCAAAATGACCTTAACTTATGATCCTTGGACTCCATTTCTCTATAGTAGTATATGCAATGCTATAAATTTGTTCTTTATTTCTAACACCTGTATGACAGTAGTATATATCAAAATGTACTCGGGGCGCCTGGGTGGCTTAGTCGGTTAAGCATCCGACTTTCGCTTAGGTCATGATCTCGCGGTTCGTGGGTTCGAGCCCCGCGTCGGGCTCTGTGCTGACTGCCAGCTCAGAGCCTGGAGCCTTTTTCTGTCTGTGACTCCCTCTCTCTCTGACCCTCCCCTGCTCACGCTTTCTCTCTCTCTCTCCTAGAAATAAATAAAAAATATTTAAAAAAAAAAAAAAAGTTTAAAAAAAAAAAAACAAAATGTACTCAACAGTTTTTGAGGCCTTATTGTGCCCCTGACAGAGATGAGTAAGATGAGGTCCCCCTCCTCACCGACCCTCAGTTTAGTTGGAGGAACAGACAGCAAATGGATGATTATAAAATAATATGGAAAACATTAATTTTGTTTTCAGGAATTTATCCTAAGGATAACTCACACAATGACTTATCCACAGAAGAGTTTGGTCTGTAGCAGAAAAATGCAAAACAATCTGAATGTCTATCAATACAGGTTGGATTAGCGTGTGTCTATACAGGGCATACTAAGCAGTCATCCAAAAAACATGTTTCAAAGAATCATTAAAAGAAGAAATACAGTACAGTGAGTGATTTTAAAAAACACGTTACCTGAAGAGGAGTGGTAGATACAGACTTCAAGTTATGGACTGAATAAGTCCCAGGGATGGGGAGTACAATATAGGGAATATAGTCAGTGGTATAATGGCATTTTATGGTGACAGATGGTAGGGACACTGGTGGTGAGCATAGCATAACATCCAACTTGTCCAGTCACTGTGTTGTACACCTGAAACTAATGTTTCAGTGTGTTGACTGTTCCTCAATTTTTTTAAATATTTATTTTGTGGGAGTATGTAGGAGAGGCAGGGGCTTACTGGAGACGTCCAGTAGGCCTTTGAAAAGGTGCTCAGCATCATCCATTATTCATTATGGAAAAGGAATATTAAAATCTGAATGAAATATCACTTTGACCCCACTAGAGTGGCTATAATCAAAAAGATTAACACCACTGAATATAGGTGAAGTTACAGAGCAACTAGAATTCTCGCACATCAGTGTGGAGGGGTAAAATTTTGGAAAAAAGATTTGAGTTTCCTACAAAGTTAATCACTTACCGTGCAATGCAGTAGTTCCACTCCTAGGTATTTACTCAAGAGAAATGAAAGCATACCTGTGTAGACTTGTACAGCAACTTATATAACAACCTTATTTTATTATAATCAACCAAACTGGACATGACCCAAATGTCCACCAACAAGAGACTGGATATATAGATTGTAATGGATCCTTACAGTGGAATACTATTCAACGATTTGAATGAACAAGGCAACCTGACCTGCAGCAACATGGATGAGTTTCAGAGTCATTATATTAAGCAAAAAACAAGCCAAACACAAAGACATACTATACGATTCCAATTAAATTAAATCCAGTTATAGGCCAACTAAGCTGTGATGTTAGAAATGAGATAATCATGTGGATGGGATACGGTAAAGAGCTCGAGGGCACTTTTCAGGGGATGGAAATGTTTGTTGTCTTTTTGGGTTTTGATTACGTGGACTTTTACAATTGTTGGAATTCATCAAACCTGACACTAAAGACAGTGCATTTTGTTTTACATAATTTATGTCTCAATTTTTAAAAGATTTATAAAATACATACATACGTATGTGTGAGCACACATACATAGAACAAAGGCTGAAAAGATACACACCAAAAATGTTAGAAGTGATGGAATTTCCAGAGTGGTTTTTATTTTCTCGTTTGTAATTGTGTTTCCAAATTTTCTACAAAGCTACATACTTTAATAATCTAGAAAAATAAAGCATAAAAAGTAAATTGAAGGGGCGCCTGGGTGACCCAGTTGATCAAGCATCCCACTTCAACTCAGGTCATGATCTCTTGATTCATGAATTCAAGCCCCACATCTGGGTCTGTGCTGAAAGCCCAGAGCCTGGAGCCTGCTTCGGATTCTATATCTCCATCTCTCTCTGCCCCTCCTGTGTGATCTCTTTTTCTTTCTCTCTTATCTCAAAAATAAGTAAACATTTAAAAAAAATTTTTTTCTGAACAGTAAATTGAAATAGTGTGTGGCAACAGAGTAATACTGGGGTGCATGGTCTAGGAGGAATGCCCCAAGAGGAGCTTACAGCATGGCCTATCAGGTGTCTTTGATTATTGCTGTCTACAGCTCATCTCCATATTTGAAAAGAATACTGCTCCATAGGCCTAAACTTAACCCTGACTTTCTTGGAACTGTTCTTTATACATCTTCATGCTTTGCACTGCATCTCTGATCTCAGCACTAAGCCTTCATGGCATATCTGCCCTTCGAATAGTGCTGGGGAAGGAGCAAGTCTGTCACGAGCACATCCTGCCAGGATGCTGCCCTGGCTCCTTCACACTGTTGGTCAGAAAAGAACTGGAGTAGGGAGAAGGCCACACCTTGCTTTTCTCTATTATGAAGCTTTCAAGGGATGTATGAGTCCCTGAAGTGCTTTACTGGCACCTGTGCATAACCCCCTCCAAACTCAGAATGTGCTGAATTGGGGAACTTATGGTTGAAATAAAATGAGAATATTAACAAATGAAAACAATATTCTCCAGGACAAGGTCTTTGCAATCAGCACTTATTAAACGCTTTAAAGACTGTTCGAGAGCAGACCCAAGACCTAAAATGTAAATATACCCATTGGTTAACATTGTAAAAATGTTTGTGGTGGGCCCCTGGCTGGCTCAGTCAAAGGAGCGTGCAACTCTTGATCTCAGGGTCATGAGGTTATGATGGGTGTAGAGATTATTTAAAAAAAAACATGAACTTTAAAAAAAGTTTGTGATGAGCATATATAAATGTATATATGCATATATTTATTGTAATTAATAGTGACATGGGGAGGGGTGCCTGGCTGGCTCAGTCAGTAGAGCATGTGACTCTTAATACCAGAGTTGTGTGTTCCAGCCCCGCATTGAATGCAGAGATTACTTTAAAAATAAAAAATCTTTAAAATAAAAAAAAAAATAGTGATTTTGGCAAGATGGCTTAATGTTTTCCCTTCCCCTCAAATGTAAATTATATTAATTTTTAATCATCATAGAAAACGTGGATTTTAGCATCTCAAGTGGGTGGAATGGGTATTACAGTTATTCTGGAATGTTAAGGTAAATAGGTTTAGGTAAATGAAGCTTCCCTCCTTCCTGTCCCCTGTCTACTTTGGGAAGTACTTTTATAACTGAGCAGAGAACAATGTAAAAATGGTTTTTTAATTGACTTTCAGGAGATGCCAGATATCCATTGCTTGGCCAGCCTCTGCAGTACAACCCTCCTGCTGTTTTGCACGGACACATTCCAACCCAGCAGGTATGTCAGCTGTCTGGCAGCTAGCCTTTGTTGGCAGAACGTCATAGCTCTGTTGCATGGAGCATGGGGTCCTGGGCCCACCTGCTGGCATTGCGCAAGGAGTCCTCTGTACGACAGCTGGCCGACTTATCGATGTGGCCCCCATTGAGCCTGGGTCTGGCCACACAGAGAGCAGACAAGGGAGCAGGTGGTGTGCTGTTTGGCTGAGCGGTCAGTGCACTAGTGCTGTCCCAAACCAGAGGGCTTGGTGGCTGGGGTGTTAGGGCACCCTTGCTTACGAAAGACAGCAAGTGACTAGTCATAGTGAGAGACAGAAGTACAGAACCCAGACTGGGTATGTTTAGGGGTTAAGTGTTTAAACATTACAGACCTATTTTTTTTTCAGCACTATTAACCTTATTTCTCATCTGTTTGTGGGTTTTCAGGGTCAGTCTGGCAACAGGCATGGAAACCGAGGAAGGAAACAAGCTAAAAAAGCTGCATCCACTGATCTTGGTGCAGGAGAGCCAGGTGTGTCTCCGAGTGGCAATTAGATGTGATTTTATAGCAGTCTTTAGACAAAAATGGGGTTTCCTCTTCCTAAAGCCCTGAATATTATAGGAAATTATGCCACCTGTAATGTAGGGCTCTTAAGTATATTCTTGTAAGTGTCTCATTTCAGATTTCAGAGTGCAGTGAGCTACAGGTGGATTTAGGAGGGATGAAGGGACCAAAGGGAAAAGTTATATGTGAAAGGAACAGATAGCATGACACCCTTTGCCTGTGTGTTTTTGGAGAAAGGAAGTAGTCTTAAACACTCATGCAGAGATAGTCTGATGAACAAATAACTGCCTTTCTGTGGCAGAGTGCTTTCAGTATGTACTCGACAGCCTTGAGTCGTTACACAAGTGCTGTTATTTTTATTTCACAGTGGGGACACGGAGGTCAGGAGACTACTCAGGATAACACACCTAACTTAGAGAAGCCACTCTACAATGCTGTGTTTTCTATGCATAGCTTTCAGTGAAGACCAAGATGGGTAGTTTAGTACCATTAGTTCTACACCCCTTACCTAAGGGGTGGGTAGGAATGGTTTTTTAAATGGCAAGCATTACAGTTTTGTGGGTTTGAATTGTTTTTCAAAGTCCTGTTCATTTCTTATGTCATATTTGGGTCTTCAGTACTCTCTGCCCACCATTTTGGTAACAGGGATTATTAATTCTACACATTCTCCATTCTAGTTGTTGGGAAGGTCTTGGAAATCACTGAGCTACCAGATGGAATAACTCGCACGGAAGCCGAGAAGCTTTTTGGGGAACTCTTTAAAATTGGTGCCAAGATCCGGTGGCTCCGAGACCCTCAATCCCAGCCCCAGCTGCGTCGTCACCCCCTCTGCTGTGGCAGTGGGGACAACACTGTCAATCCTGAACGCTCTAAACCCAGTGACTTGGCCTCCACTTATACCGTCTTAGCCACATTCCCCTCCATTTCAGCAGCACAGAATGCATTGAAGAAACAAATTAACTCGGTTAACAAGTTTAAGCTGAGAACGAGCAAGAAGCACTATGACTTTCACATTCTGGAAAGGGCAAGTTCTCAGTAACAGAGCCACCTTGGACCCTTCGCCTTTATGATTCCCCTGTCCTCACCCATCTTTAATTGGCTTGGTTTTTGGAGCTTCTGTTAACATGACAGAGACTCCTAGGATGTGTGGTCATGGCGTTATAGCTTTTGAAGGACAGGCCAGTGATCCAGCAAAGGGGGGAAATTACACATTTCACTCCAAGTGACTGTAGGAATCCACATCGGAATGATACAGAGTTAGCAGCTTTTTCTGAGGAAATGCTGTTCAAATGCCTCCTAACTTTTATAGTTATTTTGTTTTATATTTCTGAATTCTTGTGTCAGATCCAGAGCTCTATTGTACAGCAAATTATTCTTCAAAACGATTACAACAAGTTGCAACCTGTATTTCTTTTTTGCAGCCAGCACAATGTGACCCAACAGAGAATTTGAGGGAAAAAGAATGCAGGAATGGAATAACCAAGTCAAAACCATATATTGTCTTTTTGGGGGGCTGGAGGGTGACTAAGGACAGCCCACAAATCGAATATTACTCTTCCCCTGTATCTCTAAGCACAGAAACAATTTCCAGAAAATACAGAACTCCGTCATAGGGTCCTTTCCTTATTCATTTAGGTAGTATGAACATTAAGTGTAAAGCAAATTATGTTCTTAACACTTCTGAATCAAACCACTTAGGTTCAAAGGGGAATAGGAATCATTTTAGGCAGGAAAATACTTCCACTTTTTTTTTTTAAGTGTCCCTCTGATAACTAAATGCCACTTATTTGCATTCCCCTCCTTGTGGATTTCTTGTCACCTAAGGAAATGCATTTGATGAGTGCTGGAAACTTCTTAAGTGGTTTAAAATTTGTTTTCATTGTTTGCAGCGGATCACTGGACATCAAAGATTCATTGCACTTATGAACAAGGAACCTTTTTTTCAATTTCTGTGTAATTTGCAAGGCTGTACAATGTTTGCTGATGCAAGCCTTTTTCAGTTCAAGAGAATAAATGTTTACAAATACAGACCCATTTTGTCATTTGTAAATTAAAAAGACCTTTTTAAATGAGTGTCAGTATTGAAGACTTGACCCGTCTTGAAGACTTCAGTTTTAGATTGACAGAAGATGGTAGACAGTTACCTGTTCATTTTGCAGAAGTCCTACAAAGCATTGCTTTCTCTGTGGGAGAGGTGCCTGTGGGTGTGACTCCTGTCATCTTGTTCTCTCATAAAGTTAACACCAGTCAATGAAAGACCGTCTTTAGTATGAATATATCTAAAGCTAAGACTCAAACATTATGTTTGCATAGATAAAGAATTTGTGGTTTTAGCCAATACATTAAGCACCCAGTTGTCCAGTTTAGCTCAAATGCTTTATAGAAAACTTTTCTCGTTTGCTAGCCAAGCAAAGTCAAACTGCTGTGAAACCCAAAAAGTCAGGGGAATGTCTGCCAAGTGCAACTTGGCTGGAGCTCAGTTTGCTTCCGGCCCAGACTACAGGTTTACTGGGCAACTCAGAAGCAACAGGTGTTACCAGACTCTGGTGCAGATGTTCACTCACCATAAAGCTCCTGCAAAGTCCTCCTTGGTGTCAGGGCACCCCAGGCCTCTCGACAAGCTGATACATCCTGACGTTGAATATTGTACTCCCGGGAGAAGTTGGAGCTGCCTTTGAACCATATCAGATTAAGAAGCCATACACAGAGGAAAAAGAGAGTGAGCCCTGTCAAAGTCCCTCACTTCCAAGGCCTGTCAAATTTTTATTCTTTTTGACTACAGAGAGTCAAAGAAGGATAGGATACACACTTAGGGCCAGTACAGCAAGAATTGTTAATCCTACATGGGGATGGAGATTTTTAAAAATACCATCTGTTTGTTCACTATTTAACTCCTGCAGTAGAACTGCTAGTAAACGTAAGTGTTTTTTGGGGGGTTTTTAAAGTTGTTTTTAATCTAATTGAATTAGATTAATTTAATATAACCTAACTGACATACAACATTATATTAGTTTCTGTACAACATAATGATTTGATATTTGTATATATTGCAAAATGACTAGCTAATAGTCATCACCTCGTATAGTTAACCAATTTTGTGTGTGATGAGAACTTTTAAACTCACTCTGTTAGCCAGTTTCAAGTATACATACAGTATTCTTAGCTGTAGTACCATGCTGTACATTAAAACCTGTGTTTGCTTTCAACCCTTGGCTCACCCTGCCCAGAGAAAAAACCAGAGCAAGGCTATTGTGAAGTTAGCTCTCACCCACCCCACCACCACCCCCGCAATTCCCTGACAATCACATGGGAATAGTAATGAAATTGCCAAACCCCCCCCCCTTATTATAAAAATATGCACACATTCCCTAGACTCTATTCTATTCTTTTTGATCCTCTAGAATCTGACTTCACCTACAGAAAAATGGTGGGAGGATGTAGCACACAGGAAGCATGTAAGTTGTGAGTTGACCCAGACTTTTAACCTTCCTGAAGACAGATTCAAATGATTCACAGCCTTGGCTGTGCATTTTCCCAAAGCACTGTCTGTATTGAGGGACAGGTGGTACTTTTGCTATTAAAACAGGCTATTCTTGGGGCACCTGGGTGGTTCAGTCCGTTAAGTGTCCGACTGCAGCTCAGGTCATGATCTCACAGTTCATGGGTTCGAGCCCTGCATCGGGCTCTGTGCTGACAGCTAGCTTACAGCCTGGAGCCTGTTTCAGATTCTGTGTCTCCCTCTCTCTTGACCCTCCTCTACTCATGCTTTGTGTGTCTCTCTCTCAGAAATAAATAAGACATTAAAAAAATATTTTTAAAAATGAAAAATAATAATAAAAAATAAAATGGTCTATTCTTGTAGTGCCTGAGGGGCCCAATCAGTTAAACGTCCAACTTCAGCTCAGGTCATGATCTTCCGGTTTGTGAATTTGAGCCCCGCATTGGGCTCTGTGCTGTCAGTGTGGAGCCTGCTTCATGTTCTGTTTCCTTCTCTCTCTGCACCTTCCCATTTTAAGCTCTATCTCTCAAAAATAAATAAATGTTTTAAAAAATGAATAAAATAAAATGGGCTATTCTTACCTATGCCAATAATAGCCCCAACAGTCCCTTCTTTGAGAATAATAGAGGTCACTATAACTTTTTATCCACTTCTACTACTTTATGTATTAGAAAACTAAGAATATGGTTTAATGTTTTAAGCCCTTGGTGCATGAAGAACATAGATCTGTTGGGAATGTGTTTGTGAATCTATAGCACAAAGTGTGTTTCCCATGATGCCAGCAGTAATTAACAATAATTAGCTTGTCATCTGAGCTGACAACAAAATAGGCATCTAAATCCTCACCCGGGCTGAGCCATTGTTTTCCTGATCCCACCAGGGAGGGATCTGTGGCCTCTCAATAGTGTGGAAACGCAGGGTCTCAGTAGAACCCACAGTGCCAGAATGGCTTGAGAAGAATCAAAGCCAGTACGTCCACAGCTGCTTCAGGAGATAGCAAAAGTTGGGTTCTCCATGTGTCCTCATCAACAGGAAAAATGTAAATGTAAGACTTCAGGAGAGGCCAGCCTCAGGGCCTTGGTGAAGGTGGCCAGATCCCCTATCTGCCTATGCCTGCCAAACATAATGAGATGTGATACGTATAGTCCCCGAAGCAGAGAGCACAGACTCCCATCTCCTGCTAGTGTCCAGTGTGGCAGTAGCATGAAGGTGCTCTATACATGCTGGTATGATTCAAAGCTAGCCGCGTGTTGCTTGAAATTCTAGAAGCCTTGAGTTGACACTAAAAGAAAACCAGAGGTTCACATGCATACATTCAAGCCCATTGGCCTTTACCAGCCTAGAAACAGGCAGGTGTGGCTGCCCTTTAACCTACCCCGTACCTACATATGCCCACACTGCATATTGCATATTAGTTCTTTTCCCCGAGTGTCTACACTTGCATTCATTTTGGTTTGATTTTTACCAGCATAAGAATATTGAAAGTGTATAAGAAAAAGACAGTAGGAACTTCTAAATGAGAAACCTGAAAATTGATATAAGTTGATTCTTTGCAAGGGAAGGAGGAAGCAGTGAAATAGATAAACTACTGGGGCGCCTGGGTGGCTCAGTTGGTTAAGTGGCTGACTCTTGAGTTCATGTCATAATCTCACAGTTCGTGAATTTAAGCCCCGCATCAGGCTCTGCAATCACAGTGCAGAGCCTCTTTCAAATCCTTTGTCTCCCTCTCTAACCCTCCCTTGCTCGTGCTCACTTGCTCGCTCATTCTCACTCTCTCTCCCTCAGAAGTAAGTAAATGTTTAAAAAAAAAAAAAAAAAGGAAGGAAGGAAGAAAAGAGGGAGGGAGGGAGGAAGGAAAGAAGGATGGAAGGAAAGAAAAACCATAAGCTACGTAATCTTCCCTCAAAATATCCTGGACTATTTCAGGGATCTCTTGCTGTGTAACACACCGCACAGAATTGAGTGGTTTTTTATTTTTTTAATGTTTATTTTTGAGAGAGAAAGAGAGAAAGTGGGTGAAGGGCAGAGAGAGAGGGAGACACAGAATCCAAAGCAGGCTCCAGACTCCAAGTTGTTAGCCCAGAGCCAGACACGGGGCTCAAACCCAGGAACTGTGAGATCATGAACTGAGTGAAAGTCAGATGCTTAACCAACTGAGCCACCTGGTGCCCCTAGAATTGACTGCTTTCAGGCAACAATCCCATGGGTCAGGAATTTGGGTAGGCCTCCAAAAGGATGGTTTGGCTTCTCTCTACCTGAAATTAGCTGCCCTCAGCTCAGGATGTGCTGGGCTAGAAGTTCCAAAATGGCCTCATTCACATCTAGGGTCCTTGGGCTGACCCCCTGCTATGATGCCTCAGTTTTCTACATGAATACTCTCTCCTCGAAGTGTTTCATCCTCCAAGGAAGCTCTGTCCATGCAGCTTCTCCAACAGCATAGCCTGCTGTTGTTATCGCATATTTATTGTCACCATGCTGTACATTAGATCTCCAGAACTTACTCATCTTATGACTGGAAGTTTATAGTCTTCAACCACCTTCACCCATTGCCCCTACCCCACGGTGCCCTGTTTCTATAAGTAGAGGGTGTTTTAGATTCTACATATAAGTGAGATCCTACAGTATTTGCCTTTCCCTGACTTACTTATTTAGCATAATACACTCAAGGTTCATCCATGTTACAAATGGCAGGATTTCCTTCTCTTTCTTTAAATAGCTGAATAAAGTTCCCCTAAAAACTCACCTTGGAAGCCCAGAATGTCATTTCTTTTGCATTCTACCTGTAAAACAAAGTCCTGGATCCAGCTCACAGCAGAGGAAATAAACCTCACTCCTTGAGAGACAGGTGGCAAAAAGGCATATAGGATGAACGATGTGGCTGCAGCCATCTTTGGAAACAATTTACCACGGACACAAATACACACTAAAAACTCCCATTGACTCTGCATTCAAAGCAAATCCTGAAGCTGACCTCTTCATAACCACTACTCCCTCTACCCAATCCAAGCTATCGTCGTCCAGTGTTTGGATTACTGGAATGGCCTTCCTCACCAGTCTCTTAGCCTCCACTCTTGCTCCCATGTGCTCACATAGCCAGAATGATCTAAAAGATAATTCCCCTGCCCAAATCCCTTCATGGCTTTCTATTATTAAATAGCAAATGCTTATCTTGGTTTACAAAACTCTCCGTGATCCGGCCCTGCCTAGTGTCTGATCTTACACCGCCCAGGATATCGATACTTCCTGTCCCCTCTACCCGGGATGCTCTTCCCCTGAACTCTGCCAAGCCAGCTCCTTTATCTAAGTGTCCCCAGCAGAACGGTCTTCACTAGCCACCCAATCACAATCTTCTGTATCACTTTCAGTTTTCTGAATATCACTCTTAGGTCTTTTTTTTTTTTTTTTCTACCACTAGAATATAAATTCCATGAGATCAGAGATCTTGCCTATCTTACTTGTGTCTGTATTCCCAAGCACTTACTAGTTGCTCAACAAATATTTGTTGACTAGTTAATGACAAAGAGAGGATCC